GCCTCCATCCGTGTTTTGTCCTCCATTCCTGGGTTCCAGCCTCCATCTGTGTTTTGTCCTCCATCCTTGGGTTCTAGCCTCCATCCGTATTCATCTTCATCCCCAGATTCCAGGATCCATCCCTCTGTCTTTTCCTATCACAAGGCTCCATCTTCCATCTAGGTTTTGGCCTTCGTGTTTCTTCTCTCATTCTGGCATGTGGAGGACTCTGACCTCCATATTCTGTCCCTCATCCCATTATGGCACCCAAGGATTCCATGTCCCTTCTCCAGACCTGACGCCCGCCTCCCTCTGTTCTCATGCCTGTTACGGTGCCTGTTCCGGTCTTTCTGTCCTCGTCTCTCTTCCAGCGGACAGGGTGGCTCAATGAGTAGGGCTGTGGCTGGTTTGTGGGGAGCTCTGGGTTCTCGTTCTGTTTTGTGCACTGGGCCATCTCTGGCAGGTCGCTCCTCTGGCCTGCCATGGGGTGGCACGAATGGGATTCCTGTCATCCCAGGCTCTCCTCCTCTGTGAGTGTCTCCTCAGCTTCTCTCTCTCTTCCCTGTCTCCTCATTCCTCCCAGTCCCCACCTCCTTCCATCCCCTAACTCTTCACCTCCCACCCCGCGTTCCCCATCCCTTCTCTCCTAGGCGGTACGTGAGGGCCTCGTGATGCCGGTGGTGAAGACTGAGGGGGCTGAGGATTTCACTGGAGCCACAGTGATTGAGCCCCTGAAAGGGTGAGCTGAGGTGGGGGGGCGGTCAGCTCCCTGGGGCTGCTCCAGGCTGTCGTGACCTCTCACCCCTTGTGCCCCCATCCAGGTACTACGATGTCCCCATCGCGACCCTGGACTTCTCCTCCCTGTACCCGTCCATCATGATGGCCCACAACCTGTGCTACACAACGCTGCTGAGGCCAGGGGCTGCCCAGAAGCTGGGGTAAGGCAGCTGCCTTGGGATGGGTCTGGGGGCGTTGAACCAGGGTCTCCTCCTCACACGTGCCGCCCTCCCCCTACAGCCTGACCTCTGACGAGTTCATAAAGACCCCGACGGGGAATGAGTTTGTGAAGGCGTCTGTGAGGAAGGGGCTTCTGCCTCAGATCTTGGAGAACCTGCTCAGTGCCCGGAAGAGGTGGGGACCAGGCCCTCCGCCCTCTCTCTGCTCCCTCCCCCCACCCCACTGCCACCCGGCCCACGGGCCGTTCTGACCGTCGATCCCTCCCAGGGCCAAGGCAGAGCTGGCCAGAGAAACCGATCCCCTGCGGCGGCAGGTCTTGGACGGACGTCAGTTGGCGCTGAAGATCAGCGCCAACTCTGTCTACGGCTTCACCGGAGCCCAGGTTGGGAAGCTGCCCTGTGTGGAGATCTCTCAGGTGAGCCGGGTGAAGAGGTCAGGGTGGTACAGGAACCTGAAACGCGAGCCCTCCGCTCACAGGGGAGGCTGGGACCAGCGTGGGGGCGAGGCCTGCCCTGAGAGACACCCTGACGACGGGTCGTGGGCTGCCGTCTCCAGCCGGTTTGCTGGAACCTTCTCTTTTTCGTGGGACCGCAGAACAGAAGAGCTGGAAGAGCCTCAGAGGTCATCTCATCCAACCACTTCATTTTACAGCCAGGGTCACCCAGAGAATGGGTGCTCGAGCCAGGATTCAGACCCAGGGCCTCTGACTCCTGGAGCATTCTTTGTGGGGCCCCTCTCCGTTCCCCGCCTCCTGGCCCGGTGGTGGTAGAATAATGCAGTTCTAGGTGGCCACTCCGTGGGTCCAGTAGTCGTGGAGCCAGATGAGAGGCCCCGTGGTCTCTCTCTGTGCGTGGCAGCCACGTTAGCGAAGGCCCCGCCCTGCCAGGGTTTCAGCATCTTCAGGTCCCTGTGGGCTGTGCCACGTTAAGTGGTCTCCAAGGTGGCAGCTGCAGCTCCGACCCTGGTGTTCTGGGGGTTAGAGAACGTTCGTGAGGGAGCGCTGGGGGCCAGGAGGTGGCTAATGGGGAAAGATAGAGAGAAAACGGGAGGGGGGACAGATGGAGAGCAAAGATGGGTAAGAGGAGAGGCAGGAAAAGGAGAAGGGAAATGTTGGGGAGAGACGGGGCCTAGCGGAAGAAGAGGCCGATGGCGTCGCAGATGGAATCTCGTAGCGGGGACGGGGCAGACCAAGCAGGCGCCTGCTTGCCTTCCTTTATGTGGCATCATTTAAAGTTTTCTGGGGCTTGGGGGAGGGCGGGGCTGAGTCCTTGCCTTTTCCCACTGTTCTGGCTCTGCCCCCGCGCTCCGCCTTCCTCTAGAAGGGCGCCACGTTTTCATTTTCTTCCCCACTCCAGAGCGTCACTGGCTTTGGGCGACAGATGATCGAGAAGACCAAACAGCTGGTGGAGTCCAAGTACACCGTGGAGAATGGGTACAGCGCCGATGCCAAGGTGAGCGGCGGGCTGGGGCGGGCCGGGGCGCCTCCCTGAGCCGGGCTGCGCCTCCACGGTGGCTGGCTTCCTCGCAGGTGGTGTACGGAGACACAGACTCAGTGATGTGCCGCTTCGGGGTCCCCTCGGTGGCGGAGGCCATGGCGCTGGGCCGAGAGGCCGCAGACTGGGTGTCCAGCCACTTCATCTCGCCCATCCGGCTGGAGTTCGAGAAGGTGAGCCGGGGATGGGGAGGGGGTGAGCGGGGAGCCTTCCCGGGCTCCAGGCGTCTCATCCCTCCGCGTCTCCTCTCCCACCCGTAGGTCTATTTCCCATACCTGCTCATCAGCAAGAAGCGCTACGCGGGCCTGCTCTTCTCCTCGCGCTCCGACTCTCACGACAAGATGGATTGTAAAGGGCTGGAAGCCGTCCGCCGCGACAACTGCCCTCTGGTGGCCAACCTGGTCACGTCTTCGCTGCGGCGCCTGCTCATTGACAGGTCAGTGGGTGGTGCAGACCACAGGCCCTGCCCGGCTCGGTCACCCCGGAGGGTTTACTAAGGCGGGTCGACCCTCGAGGGCACGTGGGAGGGCTGCAGGAGGAGTGCTGGGAAGACCCAGTGACAGGTGAGGGGGGTAGCCTGGGAAGGGAGGCTGGCCCCAGACCGCAGAGGGCCTTCAAGTGCCGAGCCAAGGAGGCCAGGCCGTCCTGGAGGTGTCTGAGCGGGAGAGCGACAGTCCCTTCTGGGCCTTAGGGAGGTGATTTTGGCGATGGTGGGGGGCCGTGGCAGCAGCCCCAGTGGGGGGGTGGTCAGGTGGATCCTGGAGATAGAAAAAGCAGGATTTAGTGACGATACAGAAGGAGGGTGGGGGGCAGTGAGGAATCGGGGGTGGCGTTCACCGCGAGGCCGAGGTCTTCACTCTTTGGCTGCAGTCGGGAAGTTGGAGGAGGGGCACGGCACAGTGGGGGGAAGGAGGGCTGAGGGGGAGGGTTTGAGAAGCTGATGGAAAGTCCACATGGAGGTGGTGCAGGCCGGCCTCAGTTTCCTCATCTGTAAAATGAGGAGAGTTGGGCTAGTTAACGTGCTCCTGTGTCCATCCAATGACTAGGAGAAAGACTAGGGCTGGCTCTGTGGAACTGGGAGTCACTTCTCTGGAGGTGACGAGGAGAATCCTCAGGACGGAGCCTTGAAGGACGCCCACAGTTGGTGGGTGTGCCGTGGAGAGGAGCCTGGGAGGGAGAGCTGGGGCCCGGGGACGTGGTGACTCGCCCAAGGTCATGCAGGTAGTGAGTGAATGCTTGTCAGCGGTGCCAGGTCGGGCCCTGCTCACTGCGGTGCCCCTGGTCCCCGGCCCGGCACTTCTACCCGCCGGCTGAGGCCTCTCTTCTCCCCGTCCCCCCCAGGGACCCCTCTGGCGCGGTGGCCCACGCCCAGGACGTCATCTCGGACCTCCTCTGCAACCGGATCGACATCTCGCAGCTGGTCATCACCAAGGAGCTGACCAGGGCCGCCGCTGACTACGCGGGGAGGCAGGCCCACGTCGAACTGGCCGAGAGGTCGGGCCGCGGCCGGGAGCGGATCGGGGAGGCGGGAATGGGCAGTGGGGGGCGGCTGGGTTGGAGAACCCGGCCCTGGGTCGGGGTCGGGGTGACCCAGAAATAGCGCCCTTCGCCTGCCCAGCTGGGCTCCCCTCCCACTTCCTGTGGGGCTCAACCGCTCCCCGGCCCTGCCTGTTCCGGTCGTCCCGGGGTGGGGGAGGGAGGCTGCGCCCCGGGCCCCCGCTGCCCCGGAGCTGGGCGTGACCCTCCTGTCTCCCCTCAGGATGAGGAAACGGGACCCCGGCAGTGCCCCCAGCCTGGGGGACCGAGTGCCCTACGTCATCATCAGCGCCGCCAAGGGCGTTGCGGCCTACATGAAGTCAGAGGTTTGTCCTCCTTCCCCGTCCCCCCGCACTGCTTCCCTGAGAGACCCACTGCCACCTGTGGCCCTGGCCTGGCCGCCCTCCCCATTCTCACTTCCCCTTTCCAGGCCGGGAGGCTGGGCGCGAGGGTGGGGGCCACGGGTGCTTTCCCTGGGCCGGCTCCTCCCCCGGGGCCCAGGTGGCTGCTCAGGGAGCCTTGTGTGTCTGCCCCAGGCCGGCCTTCCATCAGGCTGTGCATTCTGCCCTGTGACCCAGTGACCTCTGGCCCACTGCCCCCCCAACTCCTGACGCCTCGACCAGCTGGGGGTGGGGGGGGGCTTGGAGGTTGGTTCCGTTGCTTGTGCGAGATCACAGAATCAGGATTTGAACCCAGATTCCCTAGGCTTCAGAGCCCAGGCCCTTTCCGCTGCAGCCCTGGGCCTTCTAACCCAGCCCTCTCTCATCTTGCCCCCAGGACCCCCTGTTTGTGCTGGAGCACAGCCTGCCCATTGACACGCAGTACTACCTGGAGCAGCAGCTGGCGAAACCCCTGCTGAGGATCTTTGAGCCCATCCTGGGCGAGGGCCGGGCTGAGGCCGTGCTGCTGCGTAAGGGCCCAGCCGGGATGAGGGGGCCTGGGGGAGGGAGGGGAGCCCGGGCCAGGCTGGGGGGT